TTTCTTCTGATAGTGAAGATTCAATTAAAAGAAAATCACATAGATTTTTATTTATATTTCTTTTATTATTGTATATATACTTATATATGTGTGAGTATGTATACTCATGTATTTTATTTTATATATAAACTTATATTATATATATGAACTTATAGTTTTATATTAATTTATGTATTTTCAATGTAAAATTTAACAAATATACAAGTATACCTATGGATATACCTATACCCAGTAAGTTGGGTAACGAGTATAAATTTTCAATAGCTAAGTAAGTACTAGGTATCAAAATCTTGTACATGTTATTGTTCAAGTCAAGTACAAGTTTGGGTCAATACTTGACCCATTCCTACCCATGCTCATCCCTATTCAGGATGAGCATTTTTAGATATATGCCGTACAAGTTATATTTAATATTTAAATTTAAAAATTTTTAAACACAGCATTTTAGATTTAATATCTACTTAAATATTCAAATATCTACACTTAATACTTAATCTAACAAGTACCGTATAATTTACACGTATATATTTATATATTTGATTTAGAAAAAAAATAATATGAGATATTATTGTTACATGTGTTATATATTTTGTTTAAAATTTATTATTTATATAAATTGTTATTACTACATGTGTGATTTGTTGCATTTATATGCCTTAGTTTTATTTTTATTTTTTGAGTTTTATTATTTTTATTTTTAAAAATTATTGTTATTATATAGTATAAATATAATAAATACATATAAAATATTAATTATATAAATTTAAGTAACATATTAAATAAATAAGTTGATTAAATAGATGAGCAAACAGTCTTAAATTTTTATATTTATTACTTAATTTTGTGTTTAAATCTATTCTATTTTTATACTATTTAATTACTCTCGTCTTTTTCTTTTTTACAATTTAAATATAGCACTTATCTTTTATTATTAATAAAGTATTTTTAAGTAGTCGGTCTACCGTACTCAATTATCACCCCCACATACATGATATAGGTCTTAGGTCAGGGCAGGTCTAGATCCAAGACAGTTACCTGGTCCCTGCCAGGTCTGGTCCATTACATTACCAAACGGGTTTTCTCCGGCCCGGCCCACTGGCTATCTCTACAATCGAACAACAAAGTATCACTATATATATTTATAAAAAATAGTGTTTATTCGTTTTATTTTTTAAATATTAAAAAAATATTATTTTAAAATTATATTATTTTAATAAATATTTATTAAAAAAATTAAAATATATTATTTTTAAAATATAAATTAAAGT